GCTTCCATAGCTGATGCCTGACAAGGGATCCAGGCTTCTGCAGTTATTGAGACACAGACCTAGAGTAATTCCAGTCCACTAGGAAGTTAATGTGGGTTTTAGGATGCTGAAAAATGGCTGTTAGTCAAGTCTGAATGCCAAGTGTATATCTCAGACACTGTAGCTCTGCATTCCTGTGGATAAAGGTCCACTCCTTTTTACCCTAACTTGCTCTATCAATAGAAAACCCTGATTTCAAACATAAATGCCACTGCTTAATAGGTATGTACCTATTTTCTGCTTCAGAACTATTCTAAACTTTCCACATTTCCACATCAATGGGAATGGCCTCATGAATGCCCAACTTTCTAGACCACTGTAGAATGTGGAGATGAATCCTAAAATATGACTATGTGAAAGAGGATTTTTTGTCAGTAGAGAATAATAGCACAGGAAACTAGACTGATGTTTGGAACCATCTTAAAAATGGCACTTGTCACTAACTTTTGTACTGAGAGCCAAATTTTTCAACACACAGAGCCCTCAAATCCGGGAGGTGATGCTGTTCAGCAGCTTACTGGAGACAAGTACAAATCTTCAGAATCAAATCCCTTGGTTTTGGAGAATGATCCTCTCACAGCAGCAAGTGCTTAGTGTATGTTTGAATCTATTTCATTGTAGATCATTTTGAATATTCAGAAAGAGTTGGTCTTATGTTTTCTGTGAATACCAATAGCAAGGTCATTTCTTATCTGTCCATTGTAATTATTGAAAATGTGAAAAAAAAGCGTCTCTTTTTCTTTTAACTTCCATTCAGCACTTTTACTGTCACCTTTTTAGGTGTGCTGTGGTTTATATTCAATAGGTTTGATTGCTATAGAATGCAAACCAATGGGTAAAATATTTTAGCATCTATCTGTCTGCTATAAAAAAGATCTGATTTTTCTCATATGTAATTTAGTCTGTGTCTCCTCTTGAAAGAACTGTGCACGGATGTAAAATAGCAAAGTATAATGCTAACCAATTACACTGATTTATTATAATCCAGTAAAATTAAAGCTGTTTAGCACAAATGGACAGTTACACAGTAACACAAACTGTTACTGCTGCAGTGTTTCTGTGTGGAGACAGATTAAGGTGTTACAGAAATACAGAAAACACAAAGACATTGAAGAGACTGTGTTGACAACAAAACAAATCATTAAATAGAAATGAGCCCCTGTTATATCTAGGTCTTGTTCCCTCACCCAATGACTGCAAAGATCAGGGCTTAATTTATACTTGGGTAAGTAAGTATTGAGTGTGTGGTATAGATTCCCTACTGCATCTTACACAGATTTAACAGAGGGGGTCATGATGGATTAAAAAATTCCTCCATTCCAAAACTATCCCAAAACACAACATTTTCTGTTGTTGGACTTGATTTTAAGCAGAGGTGAGGGTAAAGCTTTGCTCTCTCTCAGTCTGCTGTGGCTCAAATTAAAAACTTCGCAAAAATTAACACCAGCATTTCAAATGCTGCAGACTACTTCTTTTCATTGTAAGAAAAGGCAGAAATAATAGCATATGAATAGGTGCTGAGCTATTTTAAAGATAGTGCTAAAGCATGGTTTTACAAAGTCTGTGTGTAAAAGCCCACAGGAGTTTGGCTTGTAAGGAGCATTGACAAATAACTGCTGTTAAGAGACTGAACCTTTCACATTCAGAAACTCTACCAGACAGTGCCCTCGTTACACCATCGGACATTTTGCTCTGAAGAAGGGTGTTCATCATTCAAGGCCTGATCTTGCAGTTAACTGGAGGATGTTGCCAGTGGCATCACCTTGCCTACGCTCTGCCTCCATGCGTGGTGTTGATCATCCCAATGAATCTTCAGAACCTGAACTATCATCTGATCCGTTTTCAAAATACTTCTTGGCAAAACAATTTTATTTTTTCCATGGCTTTCTATTGGGAAACACACCATTCCTTGGAGATTGTAGGGCTCCCTAAGTCAAACATGGCATGCAGTGTTTCTTCTCATTAGAATGAAAATTCTGCATATTTCAACAAAGTTAAAAGTAGATGTCCTGAGGTTTATTCACAGGTCTGATACTCAGAAAATCAAGTTGCACTTCTTTGACATTAAATCTTTTAATCTCGTTACAATGAACAAAGCCAGCTTTTTCAGCCTCCACAACAAAGACAATACTTTTTCTACCCCGTAACTGCTATTTATCTTGTTTGCAAACTTCAGTTATAAACTTCTTGGGTCTGTTAATGAGTGCCTGACTGTTTGTACAGAGCCTGGGACAGTGATCTGATTGAGACTTCAGGAAGTCACCAGAGTTCAAATAACAGCAGTAACATTCTGGTATGAGTCAACTGCTGAAAAATGCTCCTGTGAGGGACTGGTTAATTAAAGGTCTACCATTACTGTGACTTTGTTCCATCACAACCAACTGTTTAGTGCCTGAATCATGGGTTACATGTAGCCTGCATTTATTAAATTAAATGTACTTTTGCTAAAGAGTTACAATTTTTGGTACATGCTTCTTTCATTTTACCTGTCCTCACCCAGAGCAGTTTCCCACTGATGTTTTTCTGCTTCAAATAATTGTAGGGCCATTGTTGAGCTGAAGTGGTAGGATTGGACGCAAGAAGATAAAGAATTTCTTTGTCCTAAAGTTGCACATGGATAAGACATCTTTTCAATATAATATCCTTCTATCTTTCGTGCTTTTCAAATAAGTTTGACATTAAAAGGAAAGCCAAAAGAAGTAAAGATTAAGCCAGAGATAATTTATATTTCAAAATAAAGAATCAAAATTATTAGTAGTAATATATGAGATGTAGCTAGACTAATTTGTTTTTAAATCTTTAGCCAGTATATATGAATCTATTATTAAGTTCCACTATTTTCCAAAGCATTACTAAAAATACTTAAGGAATACAACTAAATAAATAGCATTAAAAAAACCCAAATATTTTGATGTGTTACCTTGGATTTGAGAGCAGTAACTTCTTTTGCCCATATCCTGTTGTGACTACAGAAGGATATTTTCAAAAGACAAAAAAAAAAAAAAAAAAAAAAAAAAAAAAACACACCACCAAACTGACCTTTTGATGATTTTATTAACTTAGGGACCCATGACAATTAGAAATATGAGCATAGAGGAAAAGTGTAATTAAGTTTACTCTGCTCCCATTTATTTAATAGCATTTTTATTTTATGTCTAAGGTGGCAGAAAATCTGATAGAAAAACAAGTTAAAAAAGCACCGCTCATAATCTTTCCAGCCTTTGTTTTCTGAGAACACTGCCTAATGCCCTCTGTTACCTGCATCCTTTTATCTTTAAGAAGGCCATTCCAGACAGGTGATTTTGTTAAAATCTAAGCTCCCAGTGTGAGGCCTGAATTTCAGAACCAGTGGAAAGTGCACTCTCTGAAAGAAACAGCCTCTTTTTCAGGTGTCATCAATAAAGGTTTAAAACCTGATTAAATTCTCTGCCCTTAGATATTGCTTAAAGGTGTAAACATATGGTTTGTGAACTTGCAACAAAGTCTTTGAAACCAAAAGTCATTCTGAAATATGTATATGAGGACAAAAGAAAAGGTTTCATTGTTTAAGAGACAGACACCCCTGGTTCCTCCCCCAAATTACAGCATTGCCTTGAAACCAAAGAAAGAATGGTATTGATTTTTCCAGTTCTGATGACACTTGGTGTGTCCTTTGACATTCAGGATCATCTCTAAGGAGATATTTCCTTTACAACTGTCAAATCAAATCAGGGAAATCCAAGTTCACAATTAAGCAACTTCTGCTGCCAGACAACCCTTTGGAGTATAAAGATACTGAGCACCAGGTTCCTGTATGCCAGTTGACTTATCTGCTTAAGAAGCATGGAATTTTATGTGTGGGTTTAAAGTGATAAGATTTATCTGGTAGAGAAGATTATGTATGCACATTGCAGTGCTACTGGCTTGCTTCACATTAACGAGGAGTAGGTTTAAGATGAATCAAAATCAGTCTTTAAACTGAAGACATCTATTTAAATTAAAGTTAAAATTATTGCTGGAACTTTTGCATATAGACAAATAGTTTCACTAAGATGAAAGTAAGTTAAAAATGAGGACTGAAGTTTAGTCTCCATGATCAGACTTGCAAATTAAGGTACCAGCTTTTCCTTGATTTTAGTGGGAGTCAGAAACATGATTGGTTTGAAAACTGTACCACTGGACACATAGGGATGGAAATCTTCTGGATTTCCTATGAGTCTGTGTCAGTCTGACTCCTGTGAACTTATGTAACTTTGGAAACTGAGACTTGGCCCTTTCAGCTGTTAAATTTTACCTGTTAGCTGTCAAATTTACCCTGTTACTTGTCTGAGAGAAATTCATCTGTCAGCAGTGCAACATTTATTCATAAAGTAGGTGGAATTCTGTGTATGTAGAATTTGTCTTCTTGCAACCTGCCTTTAATTCAAAGTGAGTGGGGACTTGTTTGCTTTCTTTGCTGTATTGAGTCTGGCTTTTCTAGGTCTGGCTTTTGTGATGTGAGCCTATTCTATTTTGTGGAGTATCTGTAGAAAATCTTCAATGCTACACTTTCTTTCCCCACTGCTTCACTTGGGCACAAGCAGCACAGTAACAGACTGAGCTGCTCCTTCTTTTGCCTTGAAGATGTTTAGCAGAGATAATCTTTCAGATTGCAAAATATGTGACCTTTGCACAATGCCATGGCTCATTTCTGTGGCCTGTAGAAAATTGCCCTGCTAATGCTGTTGTAACAGAGAATTTTCTCTCAAAGAATCTGGTCTAAAGGGCCCTATTAACTGAGAGGGATTAAAGCAAACAGAACAAATCTGGCAGGGAAAGTAAATTCCAAAGTTCCAGCCTTTCCATACCTGTATCAGTTGCAATGTGGCATTCTGGCCAGGAGATGATCCTTCAGTAATTCCCATAAGGACCTGCAGAAAGATAGTAATAATTCTTAATGTTTTCATTAATACATAGTCAATACATTTTCCTTCCTTACCAAGGATCCCATATAACCATGGTGCCTACATACTCCTTGATGGGACCTTTCAGAAGACACGAGTCTCAAAAGTAGCCGTAAGTATTCACATTATTAAAAAGTGACTAAGTGCTTTAATTTTGGAATAACAGCTTAAATATTTTGACACTATTAAAAATACATGTTTTATTATTGAAATAAGTCCTTCTAGTATCTGCTCTATATCTCATTGTCTTAATTTAGACAAACAGCATTCCTGTTCAGGATGTTTGCCAAGCTCCTGTGGAAGAACTGCTGGAAAGCTGTTCTGCCTTAAACTTCTCTTCTCAGAAATGCTGTTCCACTGCACCTTCTCCAAGTCCATATTCCCACTTGTAGGAATTAACAGTTAACAGTGGTATAAACTCCTTTCAGTATAGCAGGTCTGCAGTTATGTTTTAGTCTTCAAAGAGTAAAATAATTGATGTGTTACAGGGAACAGACTTTTACCCCAGTAAGAAGCAAAAAGCAGTGGCTTTGAATCAGCAGTCTGGTGAGAAGCAAAGTCACCTCCTGTGTTTTTCAGAAGCCTATTTTTGGTTTTCAGCTACATAGAAAAGACATGTTTTATCACTGTCATTGTGTATCAGTCAAACTTTAATACTGCTACAACTGGATTTATGGTATGACATTATACCTCTAGACATGATATATTCTCCAGACATGATCTGCAGAGGTAATCTCTTGCAATTCAATCAAGGGAAACTAGGTAAATTAGTCATCACACAAGTACACATTCAGGACTATAAGAAGTTGCTAGGAAAGCCATTATAAAGTTGGAAATAAAAAAAGAATCACTGTTAAGGGGCTTGTCACTGTTCTTTATTATTTGTTCTTGGGTCCTGGTTTCCTGGAGATCTTTCCTCAATGTAGAAGCAAAATATTGATGCATTAGAAGTACAATAGTCCTCTGAGTTTGGAAAGATTTTCAAAAGCAGGCAACTTTCTGTACATAGATCTGTGCTCATATATAGAAAATGTTGAGACTCTGAAATGCTGAAAACTTGGATCAAGCAATTTGCTGAATGTTGCAGCAAATGACATCTGTGTAAGGCAGGAGAAAATACAGAACTAGGAATCTGTTCAAAAATGGGCTTAAGAACATTGCCTGTCTTTACAGCATACAAAAGGGCTGTTTCAATTTGACTTGATGTGTGTTTGCACCATCAACAGAGCCTCTTAACAGGGCTACTTAAAATTCCCAGTAGATTTCAGTTTCTCATTTCCTTCAATTTGAAGTTGCTCAAAGAAAACATTAGAAAAAATTGTTTGAAAGTGTAAACTTTCCAGTGAGCTCAAATAAGATGGCCCTCTGTAATGGTGGGAAATACTTAGTTGGACACCCCCTAAGTCTCCTCATTTCATTGTTTTTACCCTTAAAGCCTTTTCTTTGAGAAAGGGATGTACTTTTTCGTGTCCTCTCTTCAGAGAGATTGAGACACAAAAACACAGAATAACTTGCCAAAGTTCAGCAGAAAGTCTCTGGTGAAGAAAGGAATTTGATTTTTTTTTTCCTTTCCTTACATAGGAATAACCACAATGTTACTTATTGCACAATGTCAGTAATTTTCTGGACACAGCATAGAGTTAGATTTTAAGAAAGAAAAAATTAGATTAAACTACTAGTGCCTTGTATATCTTTAGCATTTCAGATTGGGGCAGTTATTCATTTTGAGAAGAATGTTCTTTTTATAAATGGATTTTCCCTCCCTTTTTAATCTTTGGATATTTTTTAGATTATCATTTCATTCTTCTGCCATACTTTTTCACTGAATATATTGAAATCAGCTTGTCACTGCCAATCAGGGATTTAGGGCATGTACCAAAATACTTTCTTCTTTCCCTTAGTGACAAGCGACTAGCTGCTGTGATTTAGGGCTTGAACTCAGGAGAGCCACCCCACTTTAAACCAGCTAGAGATGGTGCTGGATGTTGCTGAAGAGCTTGCTCCAGAGCTTGTTTTTGCCAGCAGGAGGTTACAGCACATCTGGCAAAATTAATGAAAAAAAAATATTTTTAGAAGTTTTGGAGTGAACAACTACAGGTCTCCAGCATGTAAGAGCTTTAGAACAGAATAGTACTGATTTTAACTATTTTATTTTTTTATTATGGCATTGACACCAATGAGTGGTTTCCCTGAATAAAATTGGACATGCAAAGACTCATGATAAGAAAGGTTTTCAGCTTTGTATTTGTCTGCTTCAGGCATCAGATTCCATTGTGGTGCCTGTACTATCATGCTCAATTTAACTGAGACAAGAGGAAAATGCAATTTTCCCAGAATGCTGCACCAAGTTGTCCATTCTTCATAGCAAACATGGAGTCAGCACTTCTGCTGATGCCTCTGCACCTGCTTGTGAGCTGGTGGAACCACTCTGGCTGTGCCTCTGTGTTCCATGCACAATCAGAATGGGTGGCCCTGGACCTGAACAAGCACCTTTCTTCAGCTGGTCATGCTAGGATGTGCTGCTGCTCCTGGACCAGCTGTTGGAAACAAGTCTTCATGTCAATGCCCTTCTGGAAGACTTAGAGTCACTTGCAGGAATACATCAGGGAATAATACTAAGTGAAGCAACAAATGCAGCATCAGGTGTCCTGTCCAGCTCATTCTTAGGGTGTTTGTTCAAAAGATGACACCATAAATTGAATTTATTCAAGCTCCTTGGCAGTGAAAAGCAGTTTGAATCACTGGCTCACTTTGGTAGGGAAGAGATAAGAAAAAGCAACACAGCAAGGATGCAGCCAAACTGAGATTAGAAGGATTGATTTCCAGACTCTCAACCCAAGGTCTCCTATTCCTTCAAAACACAATAAAAGCTATGAAACAAAGTTATTAGCTTAAATTGTACATTGGGAACTTGAACATTGAAACAATCATTTATTTTGTTGGCTCAGAAATCCAAATCTGGATACGGTTGGATGGGCTGATTATCTCAGTGTAAGGGTCATTCTGGGTCTGTGGATGGAAAGTCAGGCCCATTAGGTTTCTGATCATCAGTATTCTGTTGATTTTTGAATACTATGTGCTGGTAACTTTCCATCTACAAATCCTGTCACGAATTTAGAGGGTTTTGAGAAAGAAATTTTTTTTTGCTTGGAAGCAGATTGAAAGAAAATTAACTATCTAAGCCACACTGACAGGTTAAAAATTAGGAGTAAATGCTTATCTGCTTCTTCACTTCGTTTTCTGAGTTAATGAACTTAGGTCAGATGCAGAGACAAATTTTTCTGAATCTGGGAATTCTGGCAAATTAGAGATTCAGAGGGGCGTCATGGTCAGTCTGTGTGTAACACAATTCAGTCCCATGATCTGGTTCCTCTTCTGGCCCTACTTCTATCCTTGTCTGTATCCAGTCCATTTATCTAACTACACAGTGCTCACGGTGGGTCTGGTATCACCAAGAGGTGAGATAACACTGTGCATTTTTCAGTACTTTGTAATATTATCTAATAACACTATTAGCATTAATAATAGTATTAATGCTCTCTACTGATATTTAATATTCTCTAGTATTTAATCTTTCGGATGGTAAATGCTTTTTATTTTATCAGATATTAAACAGTGAGATCCTCTGTTATTCTCCAGAGTTCAACAATATTAAAGGCTTATGCACTACTTATTGCAAGCCATAATTCTCAGGTAATCAAAAACATGAAAATTGGGAAAAATCTGCCATTTGTTCATGTTACATTCTGTGCTATTCCTACTTTTTGAAATAAAAGAATGCTTACTTGATGTTATTGCAAGCAGGAGAGGATAAATATTACAGTATTTTCAGACCTATTATTACCTGAGACATTGCTTGTTCCACTGAATAAACTTAGATTTTTTTCTCTCTCAGCTTTTTCTCCTGGACCTTCCTACAAGCTCTCCAATCAGTACATCATTCAAGACCACATGGCTGCTCATTTCAAGAAGTTGATGTCTGCTGAAGGTGTGTACAGTCTTTAATTATGACAATATCTGTGTAGGTAAAAGGTGAAATCAGAGTCAAGGATTTATGTTGGTTGCCCTATTTTTGGCTGGCTGCTGAATTTCTTCCCCTTTCCTTCCTCCCTCTCTCTGTCACTAACTCAATAATAGTAGGTGGATTTAAAAGTGAGGCATAAAATGATGTGCCCTAAGAGATATGTAGAACACTCAGCTGGAACTGTGACCTTGTCTTGGGAGAAGCTTGGGTGAATTCTGACTGTTGAAAGATGTAAATTCTATGACGAGAAACTGTTCCACCAAATGACAAGTTCATGTTAGGAAGAGGAATATTATCTAATTGCCCTGTACAATTTTACTCGTAGTTTCTGTTTAGGAGTATATGGCAGTGGACTAACAGGAAAGGTAAAATGAGAACTAGGGCAGGTGTTTGTTTAACTGGGAGAAACCACTGAACAGTAACAGTGAGGTTGCAGCTTTTCATGTTTAGAAAGTTACAGCATCGGTCCTAAGTAACCTAGAGGGAAGTTCCACTAACTACATGTAGTCATGTTCCTGATGGCTCTTCAAATGCTGTCCCTACTGCAAATAGCCACAAACTACTAGAAAGAAAATTCAGAATTTAAAAAAAAAAAAAAAGTCCTGTGTCAATTGTCTGGAGCTGTGTAAACTTCCAGGTGCTTCAGGTGCAGATGAAACAGGTGGAGTTGAATGGCCATAGCTGTAATTAGGTTCCTGCAAGACTTCCATCCCCTGGGCTCCAAAGGCTCTCTGACCAAAAAATTCACTGATCTCATGCAGTGAGCTTTATAATAACACAAAACTGTAGAACAATAGATCGGATTGCTGCTGTGGGTTTTGGGGTTATTTTGGTTTTTTTTTTTTTTTTTTTTTGCCAGGAGACAAATCCTTTTGTAAATTTGCAGTGCCAGAAGCTTTATCTTAAGTTACCTTGCTCAAATACAGTGCATCTTTTCATTGTAGTGTCGGAATAATTCTTTGAAAGTTTTATGACCTCCACCATGCTACAGTTCATGACCATCCCACTCATATTAGGAGGTGGAAGCTGGATTGCTGCTGTGTATTTTTGTATGCAAGTGACTTTCACTTTTTCATGGCTAATGTCACAGAAACAGTGAACTCTAGGAACTGTAGAATTCACATCCTAGGGCTTTACTTATAAATATACAGAAGCATCAGGACTAATTAAGAGCAGCAAACACTGCCATATATAATTGAAATTTTATTCTCAACTGGTGAAGTCTAAATGAGGGAGTGAAGGTCAAAAAATAAAAGGAAAGTAACAGAGGTGTTTTTCAGTCTTTTTGTGAATTACATTCTTACAGCTCAGAAGAGACTACGCAAAAGATATTCTTCGTATAAAAGGAGCCAAGTGCTTTGTTCCCAAGCAGGTTTCAATTCTTTTTTCAAATGTCAGTCCTGTTCCCCTTCAGCAGAATTCAGTCAATCTGGAAAGAGCTTCTCACAGTAGGTGCTAATCAAAAGTTCCAGTGGCTAGAATTTCTAATTCTTAGGTGTTTCACGATCTGAATTTACAGTTCTCAAAAGTCAGATTTGGAATCTTTAACCTTAAAACACTTATTTTTCTTATTATAGTGCTACATGAATCACACAGATTTTAATTGTAGAGATAACTTTTGCATACATATCAAAAACTGCAATATTGCAAGGGTATCAATGTTCTCTTCTGTACATACCTGATGCTGTGAAATGCTGATTTGCCACCTGCTCTGTACAGCTTTACAAGAGATTATAGAATTTTGTGCCTCTGAAAAATCTGGTCGGGGTATAAAGGCCTTCTCCAGTATCCTTCTAAATATTCTCCAATCTTTTTGAAATGCACCTGCTTTTTAAACTACAACTTGTTTGGCCTCACTCCAGACAGTGACCAGCCCCACATGTCCAAAACTTTTGAGCATTTGTACAAACTACAATTTGCTTTGACATTTAGCAGTAATCACAAAAATAAAAGATGGAAATTAAGTCAGTGTCCTTCAAATGCAACTGGAATGTTGATCTTCTAGGAGATTGCTTTTCCCTCTACAGTCAAAAATACTATTGCCTCAGTTATATCCAGGGATATGCAATCTGACGTGGAACTCCTTACCATCCTTAACATTGCCTGTATGGACACAGGACTTAATGAAGGCTGAAGAATGCTTGATTTCTTGAAGCTTACTCCATTTAATCTTTTACAATGAAAACCAAATTACCACATAACAGAAAACGTGGTGTGCAAAACTGTCTGTAATTGCGTAATGAAATAGCTCCTTTTGCTAGGAAGACCGATGACCTTGAGCCTCAGGACATCTTGAATCATATCTTGGAGCATCAGTTGGCAGTTTCCCCTCTCTGATAGCAGCTGCTTACTCATCCATGAAATATAAACTTTCTGGGTAGTGGTAAATGCCAATACAAAATTAATACAGCTTTTCTTAAATTGTAAATTAAAATGAAGGTTAATAAATGTAGCCATACTGGCTCTAACTTCTATACCTAAGTAGATGTGGGTGAAAACCACAAAAAACAGATCTAGATTTGATACTGAACCAGTCACAGCACTGCTGAGGCACTTATCTTATGCTTTTATGCAGATAGAAACAATGGATCAAATCCTCAAATAGTATCATTGCAACTATAGTTGGACTAACTCAACTAATTTCACAGCATTTAATGCATGCCAGATTTTGAGAACTGACCAAGCACAAAGATAATAGAAGAAAATGGTGTTCATCAGTAGAGAAAAATTAGAATTTGGTGGTCATTAGATCTGCATTATTTATTAATTATGCTAATATTATGCAGTCTGGTACTATATTCCATAGGGAATTGAAAACCTTAGGATTATCAGTTTCATCTCTGCCCATTTTGCTATGATTATTTGTGTTGTTAGTGTTTCATTGGACTGAACCTACTTTTTGTTAATACAGCTGCTGTTGATTCATCTGCACCAAAGTGTTTGCATACCAGTGTTAAATGTGAGTAGTTTTATTTCAGTTTGTTTTGAAAATAGGTCTGCCTCCATTTGTTTGGTTTGGAAACACTTGTCTTTTACGGTAAAGGTGTTCTGAAAAGGCATATATGTGCTGAAAATATGCCTCTTCTGGGTTAAGATAATAGTATCTGGTATCTAATCTATTATCTAACTTAATTGTATCTAACTTAATTGCAAATTGGGTCCTGTTTGCAGAGACACAAGCTAACCTGCAGTGTGGGACCTGCTGAAACACCTACTGCAAGCAAGGCTGTTGGAGTCATAAATTGCTGTAGTTTTCCAGTCCAAATTCAGGCCACTGGCCCTTTGAATCCCTTGCTCTTTCATGCTACGTTTTTCATTCCCCTAGCTGCTCCATGTGTCTGGGGACATCGGGCACACGTCTGCTGAAACAGGTTTTGAGGAATAAATGGGCTTTGGTAAGAGAACCTTGCACTGCACCTTAACGCCACCTCTTGGCTGAAGCCCGCAGGACCCAAAGTCAAGGCAGAGTCTCTCCTGCCCTTCCCTTTTTGGTAGGAAGGAAGATTGATGAAAAGGAACCCGTTCATACATTTGCCTGGAAACACAGCCTTCACTTTGGAATGAGTTTAGTTTCCATCATTCACCACGTTGTGATGCATATTCTTCTTATCTCTATTCTGTCTTATCTTTCTCTGGTAATTACACACAAGGCAGGACACACGCTTCCTACACAGACACCTCCTGTTTTAAAATGAAATTGAAAAAGCTGAGAAAATGGAAGCTCCAGTTTTTCTTACAGTGCATGCATAGTGAGTTCCATGTATCCGAGACCCGCGGAGGGCCGTTGCTCTGAGCAGGGCATAGCGCACTCGGAAGAAAAGATAGCTCAGAGGCAGTGGTGACATGCAGTTGTCCCAGCAAGATGCACACAAGTCAAGAAGGCAAACATAACCCTTGCCCACAAAGAGTCAGAAAAATGTATCATACGAGATCCTCATTAGACAGGAGCAAGAGAACAAGTTCAAGGTCCTAACACATTGCAATCAAAACTTCCTTAAGTTGGTTTTTTAACTCCTCACACTCAGCAGTGTTTTCCTTTTTTTTTATAAGAGCTGTCTTTTGTATAATAATTTAAAGATTAGTATTTCTCATTAATCAGTTTAATAGTGATTAAACAGTGTTCTAATAGTAGAAATAAATGCCATGGAAAGTTTTCTGAGAACATTAGTTCGAGAGAGAGATGATCCTGATGTAGAAGTGCATGAGGAGTAGAATCTCACCTCCTTGAGAATATCAAGAGGACATAGAGTTTGTTCAGCTGGGTTTGCCACAATAGCAAGTGTTCCTAGATGATATATCAGAGGGAAACATTATCTATGTTTCTTAAAATGCTTTCTTAGGAAGATATTCATCTTACAGAGCTAAGCAGAATCAAACTGGTTTGTGCAGTTTTTGTTAATTTAGAAACCCACACTGAGTACAAGGTGCCTGATGGTCATAGGAGCCACAACATGATACTCCCAGTCAGAGAAAGTGAGGACCCAATATAATTTTTATCAGTGTCCCGCTGGTGAAATGCAAATCACCTGTGTCATTTAATATTTTTCTTCACTAAAAGGTACTATATATGAGCTAAGTCTTTTTTCTGAAAATTTAGCTGCAGAAATGTCTGCCTCGGCAAAAGAAATTTTATTCCTCAAGGAATAAAACTCAAAATTTAGAAGTCACCATGAAAATGTGCATGAGAACTTCTGTGTTCTGAAGTGTTAAGTAAGGCAGTAGCACAATGGAGGTACAGTTCTTGCTTTTGGGGATGATGTGCAAATCATTTGAGCAGTATAAAATTACGTTATGCCTACAAAAATAGGCTTCTGTTTATTATTTGCATAATCAAATATCATTTGCATAAACAAAATGAATTAAGTCTGTTTTGCCAGCCTACTAGAATAATGGAAGGGCAAAACTAATTTTCTGCTTAGTACAAGATTACAGCATTTTTTTTCTTTTCATGTACGATTTTCTCCCACAACCATCTCCCACTATTACTTTTGCTAGTTACTAAATGTGGAGTGCTTTTAAAACCTTGACATTTATTAGAACTTTGACAGGTACACATTCTAAAACCATATATTTTCTTATCTGTTCTCAATCCATACAGTCAGTTAGATATAACCTTGTTTTCCAAATGTGTGAACTGGAACTGTGCTGGATTTTTCCAAATGTGTTGATCTGTGTTGGATACCACACACTTCAGTGATAGGCTGAAAAGAAAAATCAGGTCACTTGGTAGTGATGGAGACATACAAAAATCTGTAAAACTAAAGAGAAAGACTGAAAGAGCTACAAAGATTAGTTCTGAAGAGCCAGAAGAAAATACAGAGTGCAACACTTTGTTTCATTTTTGAGAATAAATGCACAGCAGATAAAACACTGTAAAGAATTTGCTAATATTTCCTATAAATAAACTGCACCATTTCGCAAGGCATCTGTAGTGTTGCACTGTAGATTCAGAACTGCACAAAGTGAGAGATGTGCTGTGGGTAGGACTTGCTCCTGAATGTGTTCTGGTATATCTAGGATTTTCAGTTCTAAGCTTTAGAAGGACACTGTTTTAAATTTTTTGCTTCATTGGGCTTTCTGCACTTCTAGATTTCATTAAGCTAATAATGTTGCTATAGGTAAGAGTGCCATTGAATTAGCTGATTTTTTTCACATAAAAAATTATTCTAGTGACCTTTAAGTATGGCATGTAAAGAATAGCAAGTACCAACTTTCATCAGTTTGTGAGAATAGAATAGAATAGAATAGAATAGAATAGAATAGAATAGAATAGAATGTTCAGCTGAAAGGGACCTACAATAATCATCCAGTCCAACTGCCTGACCAATGCATAGCTGACCAAAAGTTAAAATCTGTTAATAAGAGATATGCTCTTGAAATTGCACAAATTTATGACAAAAGTTAGGGAGAAACAGTTAAGATAAAGTTTCCTGAGTAGCCACTTCTCTCCAACACAGAGCTGGCTTTGTTGTAGCTGTAAAACTGCATCTCCAATGTCCTTATGCTAAAAATCATGGGCCATTTTTCAGCTTCCCTTAAAGAATAGAAAAACATGTGTCTGTCCCATGCCTTAAGAATAGGTATATTAGCTACAGGTGCAGCAGAGATCAGGGATATGAGAGATACAGTTCATCATCACAAGTGTTCCTGTGGAGATAAAATTATACAGAGGTGTTTTAAGAGTCATGAGAACAGCATGATTTATGAAAGTACATGAAAACAGGAATTCCTTGGCCATTCCAAGTGTCTGTGTAGGAGGATGTTTACATTTCTTACTCTTAGCAGAAAGCACACTTCCTAGAAAGAACATCTAATGAGTATGGAAAGAGAATAAGGTGTGCTGCTGAAGGCACCAGTGAAAAGGTTTCAGAAGAATGTCTCAGGGATCAAAAAGAAGAATTCATGTTACAATGGAAATGTGAAAGTTCTGGGGCAAAAAAATTGCTATGAGGCATTGGACATGAATAAAGGAGAAAAGTCAGTGTAATTTTGTTTTAAATCAGTTCTTTATTTATATAGCTCTGAGCCTGAGACTTAAACTTAGCTGTGGCATCCAGAATGTTCTTTAAATTTCTCAGTTATTAGGGATTAATAATTAACAATTAATATTAAGCAGTTGAATAACATTTTTGGACCTTGAAAGCATAAGACAGCTCCAGAAGTCTCTTCTAACCATCATCTCCATGTTACAATGATGTTCTGCCCCAGATTCGCAGAGGCCAAGTTTGAGTCAGATCTCCTGAGGTTGATCAGCTCAGTAAGGGGAGCAGAAACCTTGGCTGATGTACATATGACGCTGTCCCAGATGAGCTAAGAAAACTAGAAAAAAAACACTCATGAAAGATTTATCAAAGCAGCCCTAAACAGGAGTTCCATAGAGGTAACCCACAACTCATACAGGAGAATGAGCCACCCAAATCATTAGTTAATCCTGCAGTTCTGAAAATCTCTGGCTAAGGCTCAGCCCTTTGACTCCAAGTCCATCAATACAGGGAAGTGCAGTGGTCTAAGGCACTAATTCTCTTCCCTAATTCTCTTCCTATTCTCCCATTCCAGGAATGAGAGCGTGTCCACCAAGGGCTGCTCTCATGTATATTTTTTTTATCCTAGAATTTCAGTATCTGCTCTGCTTCCATTAGGAGAGTACTGGTTATCAGTCCAGCAAAGAACACTCACTAGCGTGGAGAAGCTGGGCTAGGAAGTGGTCATGTCACTCCACCAAGCCAAAGAATCTCCTGAAGGAAGACCTAGGATAAATCTGCTTCTCTGAGCACACTTTCAGGTGTCTACAACCTTGGTCTTAAGACAAAGACCTTCCTTATCCATTCTGTTGAGCTACAGTTTGATTACCAAGTCAAGGTCAACTACCAGTGATGGCAAGATGAGCTTTTCAGACCACTGTATGTTTTACACAATTCTCTGGACTATTAAGAGCACAGGATGTACATTTACGCAAAAGGAATTACAAGTAATATTTTATGTAAGTACATGAAGCCATGTGACTGTTTCTTGTTCACCTTTTGGGAAGTGTTGATCATATAATTGCTTCATATCCTGTGACTCATTTTTATAAATATGAAACCCAAACACACAAAAAAAAATGTGTACAGAAACATATGCTTTAGTAATTGGAAAAAGGAATAATAGCTTTCTTTAAGAAGAATTTTCTTTTTCCATGTACCAGCAGAGTATTTAAGTGGTTAGATATGGCACATACTGGTCTTTTTATAATCTGTGTTTTTCCCTTTATAATTCTCTGCATGAGACAGACATTAGTCAAAATAACAATTTCCATTCAAGTTTTAGCCAGTTGAAAATGAAGTTGCTTTGTGATTTTCAAGCCCATAACAACTGTGAAAAAGAACAAACTGTTTCTCCTAATGGTTCAAAGACATACAAAATTCTGGAATTTTCTCCGGTTTCTGTGAACAGAATATACAGTCAATTATATAAACATAATTTTATCCTTACAGACAAGGAAGCTCAGTTGTTATTTATCTTGGGCAATTGAACAAATCATTTGGTAATCAGTGAAAATTAATGTGTTTATGTAGGCAAACATCAGTTTTCTGTCGTTGCAGGTTTAGGGAGTGCTAGTGAGATGGTTTTTAATAAAAAGTTTTGTAGTCTGTAAAAAATAAATACATATACCACCCTCACAAGAGAGCTGCAATAAAGGGACTATCAAGTGTATGACTATGTCATTCAACTGTTATTCATGATTAAACAACTTGTCTAGTTCATAAATTCTTCTCATCACACTGCGACTCCTACACTATGCAGGCAACTCCATTTGGAATCTGAGTTCCCTCGCAGTACCACTGCACATTCCAAGATCATCTTCTGGGAGTATCTGCCCAAAATGATGCACCAGCTGGAGCAGAGTAGATGAGTGTTAATCATCCTCATTTACAGGGAACAAATTAAGACACCAGAGATTAATTAACATACCTGTGATCACTCTGGAGCTGGGAATTAAGGGACAGTTTTCCAAGTCCTGCTATAGTGTTTTAATCACCAAGTCATCCTTCCCATCAATTTCAGAGTCTGTGCTGTTGAAAGGGGTGCTTTAAAAAGGGAGGAAGGGTGTAGTGGGAACTATTGGAGCATGTCGAGAAACAGGAGTCTTGTCACAGCCATTATGCACCAACTTCGCCTTTTCCTGCCACAGGAGAAAGCCGATTACTTTTTGCCTTCCTCCTGGGGAAATTCCTGTTAATGTCAACATGAACACTCACAGTAGTAAAAGGTGCAGAATTTGGCACGTGCTTAGAAAACAACGAGTCAAAGAACAACAGGCAGTGTCACTTAGAAATGTTTCTTGCTTTATTTGGTGTTCAGAGATGTTTTAAAGGTGTTCCTCCCATTTCAAATCTTTGTTATCTACTCACCTGATAGCACTGCAGCATTTAAATATTGCTCAAAACAAATCATGCTGAACAAGACCTTGGGGCTTAAAAAACACCATGTCCTGTAGCTTAATGTTCCAACATAGGCTTTTTGTAAGGACAACTAGCATAGAAAAGAGCCTCTGAAATCAAATCTAAGAATTTGAGCCTCACTTACCACTGGTTTGTACAGAAGAAATGGTCTTCTTTGCACTGAAATGCCAAAATAAACAGTTCCCCACTAGACAAACTGCTAGCAGTGTAGATCACAGCACCTGGCCCATAGATGTGAACTTCATGAGTTACTCTCCTTGTATCCCTGTGTATTGCACTGGCCAAAAATCGAATACTATATCAACTAAAAATAGCAACAAAAATTGAGAAAAAATGAGGTTTTCGAGAAGCTGATAGGTGATCTGTGATGACTGACACATATCTGAGTTTCACAAACACAGCAAGAATAAACTGCTGTGGTTATATAGCCTGGTTTTTCCCTAAGTCTTCTCTGCATTCATTGCTATTTCTGAAGTTGTGGGGAAAGGGTTCAGATGTCCAAACCTTGTTCATTTACATCTCACTTCTCATTAAAGTGTTCCAAAGGCTAACTTACCTTGCAATGAGGAATACATATCTCTCCTTTAGGATGCATTTGTATTGTTTAATTTCTGCTCTGTTTATAGGTAGTCCTAAGCAGGAATAAAGTTACTTCTTAACCATCCTTTTGCACAAATAAATACATTCAGCTCCTTAAATCTAACTCTTTGGAGAGTGTTTTCCAGAGTTCATCATACTTATGGATCTTCTCTGTATCCTTCCCAATATGTGAATGCTTCTTGAGTAGTAAGGTTTTAAAGTAGGATGTATAATTCTAGCAACAGCTCTCAAGTAAGAAGTAAAGGCTTCCTGTACTTAGACATGAGGTTTCCACTCCTTATGGGCAGAGGTATTACACTAATTTTGGCTCCGCTGTTGCTGTGGGAAATTACAGGTAGCTGTTTGTCTAGAAGAAAGTATGGATGTTTTATTTAGTGACACTCATTCCCAGATAAGACTCTCCTTCTTTAGGTAAGAGCCTGCCTTTTCACAGTGGAGATGTTAAATTATCCATGCTGAAAAGTATGCTGCTTCCCTACCTCTGAGCAATGCACATCACTTTGTTACAGTAAACCACCCCTTTATTATTCATGAGTTCCCAAACTATAGTTATTCAAGCTTTATGAGAAATGATTTTATGTTTTCTTTCAGATAAATGAAAGAAATTATTTAATATTACAATATCAAAAGTGATCCTTGTTTTAGAAACACCTGCTGATTCCATTTTCAGATCTCCCAATTCACCATTTTGTAAAAACCTGTAATTTTGTTCTAATTTCTGAGTCAAAATGCCATGCAGAACATACAGAACAAAGCCAGGGAGCTTACAGAAGTCTTTTAAACAAACACCTTTATCTCATGCAACCACAATCAAAAGATCTTTTTTTCTTATCTAGTTAGCATGGTTCTGTGTTTTTTGACTGGTGCTGCTCACATTACTTACTTCAAATGAGTCTTGTAACAGCCTTTCAGTTGTTATGCTCAGGACTGATACTAGCCTGGAGTTCATTCACCACTTTTGCTTTTCTCTTTTCCCCACAGTCCTTTGAAACTTCCTTGTTTTTTCAAAAGTCATTAGGAATTAAACAGCCAACTGTTTTAAAACTCTTGGTAGGAATTAAACAAGAACTCCCACTCTGAGTCAGGAATGAAGGCATGAGCCAAGGTGTAGATTCTATTTCTAACTATAACCACTGAGTTTTGTAACATCTGATAAACAACTTCAGGGAAGCCTCTTCTGGTTTTATATCCCATGTTCATACTTGGGCCATAATGTTCTGCCTTAGACCCAAAAATAACGTTCTCTTTTAAGAGGCAGCTGTGCATGCAATCTAAGGTGTTTAATGACCCTTCTTCCTATGTAAGATAAAGATAAGTAGACCCAAAAGGCACTGGGTTTAAAAAAAAAAACGAAAAAAAAAAACCACCCCACACTCAGATTTCTTTTCTTTCCTTCAGATCAACCAATATCATCAGCTAAGCTGCTTCTACTATATTGGGTAAGTTAGTGCCCACTCATTTTGTACACAGGACTTCCACACAGCAGCAAAGGAAAGACAAGGTGTTTTATCAAACGGCAAGCAACAAGAACTGCCAGGAAAACAAAGTGGGGGCTAGAGCATCTGATCTTCCTGTGGTTTTCAGGGACCAGACTACAACCAAATCCCTTCTCTGTTTTTGTCACATTGACAAGTATAGATACCAGTACAAGTACCAGTGAAATTGTACTCTAGCACTGATAAATTAATGCCTGCCACAGTAGGCAGGACAATAAATTAACAAGCAAATGAGCTTAAGAGAAAGGCTGTTAAATACATTTACCTAAATAACTCTTGCACTGGCCACACTACATGAATCTATTCCCTGGGAAGCAGTTCAGCCAGTTCTTAAACTCTTCAGCTAAGACATGAGATCAGTAGGCAAGGGAAGGCTTATTTTTGCTTTTCTAAAAGAAAAAGAAAGAAACCCCAAGCCTCATGAAAAGTTTGCATGCTATTTTCTATTTTGTTCTTGGTCACTGATGTTTTTAAAAATCATTTGGAGAAAGACATAATGGGCAGGTGGTTGTTTTCTCCTACAGAGAAACTGGAGAGCAGGGCTGGAAATTGTTTAGGCAGTTAAATCCCTTAGCAGACATGTCAGCAAACCAGGATCTGCTGCAGGACCTCTCAGTCAGCCTCACCTGGCTGTGACACATACAAAACCCAGCACATGAAACTATCAGGAAAGGGGAGGGAGAGTTGCTATGAGACTTTCTGCCCAGGAGCTTTTGCTAATTTCTCAAAACATAAAACTATAATGCACTGGAATAGGATGTATTTGCTTCCATGTGGTGTGTTTATAACCCATATTTATAGTCAAAATATCAGTGAAATACTAGACAAAAGCTGTTTAAAACCTGTAGCTCTTTGACCTGGAGCATTTTATTTTCTTGCCCTTGGCAAGGCTTGCTGAAGGCTCAGTTGTCCTGCCTCACCTGTGCCCAGACAGAAAGGAGGAGTGGCATGGATGTCACTTTTTCCTGAGGCCTCCCACGCCATTGGCACGGTCCTGAAAGAAACCTGGTACCCTGACTGGTGGCACTGTTGTACAGACACTACACAAGCTACCTTGCCTGCTATTTTTCACATGACTGCAGAATGCAAAGTCTTTAATCAGAAGGGGGGGTTCCTTTGATTGGGCCCATGAAAACCAAGATGAATGAGGAAGGTATTAATCTCTGCATAAGCGCGATTGAGCAAGTACATTTTGTTATTTGTTTCAGTGAGTTGTATAATCCTGCTTCCCAATCATCCAAATAGGATTTAGCATTGTCAACATGTTTTTCTTAATAGGATGATGCTATGAATTCATGTCTATGCAAGACTGGAAAGCCAGATTACCTGTCATGAGAGGCTGTATATTTGTCTTAGCTGTCAGTGAAATCTTGTTTTTTCAATGAAAAGGACACAGCTTTGAGGCCATCTTAGACTGTGGGATGGTGTGCCCCATATAAGACCCCTCACAAACTTTGGAGGAACATTTAGAGAAGTGTATGTTTTGTTTATAAATAAGATTCAGCTGTTTCTTTTCCAAAAGAAATAGTACTGTAAGGCTAACACCCAGTCACCCTCCTATTAATTCAGCAATTTTCAATACTAAATACAGGTTGGTGCATCTCCCTCCTCAAAAAAAACATGTTTAGTAAGTGCTGCTTTGCCAGGTTTCAGGTGTTATTCTGTGACATTATTAGTGAGATGGTCTGCAATTACACCCCTTCAGAGAAGGAGCTGTTTCTTCTCATTAGCAAAAAAATTGCAACTTATTGTGAGGACAAGTTTTAGTCTCTTGCCACAGTAGCAATGTAAGGGGACCCTGTGCTGATCACGAACCGGTTGTGAATTTTGACAGGAATAAGTCATTGTTAATCAAAGCATCATCACACTACAGAAGCCACATTTCACCAGCCCTCCTGAAGCCTTTCCAGCTCTCCAGAATTATATCTTCAAGTAGCCTCTGCTGCTGCACCCAAAGGGGAGTGAGCAGGATATATTTCTTTGCTGGCCTGCCTGGCAGTATTGGCATGTGCTACCATGTGCCAGAGCTCCATAGGATGAGGAAATTCTCACAGAGCTGCATTTTTTACTCAAAAAGTCATATGTAGCTCGCAGGACCTCAGTGAACCCCTCTTTATCAATATTTTGTGTGAGTCCCTAGGTTCAGCTAGAACTGGAGGGAGGGGAGGGTATTTTTTAAACATATCTCAATAAAAAGAAATGTGTTGTTGCCCATCAACATACACTTTCTCTCAGAGCTGTGCGTGGAAGGAACACAGCAGGTAAAAAGAGTTGAAAATTTTGGTCATGCATCATTCCTGTTTGCATTGTTAAAAGTAAGGTTCTGACAAAGGATGGTGAATTGTGAGAAGATTTTCATTATACATAAATATGCCCCTGTGGGCTTCTATAGTCTTGGGTAACTCATATCTGCTTCCAACCCCTGTATTTTTTTATTATTTTATAATACTTAATATATATTACATATTAAATTATATAATATGCTATATATTATATAGCATATGATGTAATGTAATATGTAATATATAATATATATTAAGCAGTCATGATTATAAGAATAAGCATTCTTATTTCTACTCTCACTTGCATATTTTCAGGAAGATCAGAAGGTCGTGAAATCATCTAATGGTTTGGGTTGACAGGGATCTTAAAGATCATCTGGTTCCCATCCCCCTGCCATTGCCAGGGACCCCTTGCATTAGATCATGTTGCTCAGAGCCCCACCCAGCCTGGCCTTGGACACTCAAGTTTGGGTCATGCACAGCTTCTGTGCCAGTACCAAAGGGCTGAGTCTGTTTCTGTTCATTTTGTGTGTGAGGGACTAACAAGAGGGTCACCCTACTCTTCTCAGGCTGAGTTTGACCATGCAGAATGAGGACTTTGTTGGGATTGCTGCCTGCACAGACCACAGTGGCAGCCTGACTTTGGTCACTCAATTCTTAGTATGTAGACTTGAATCCTTATTCAACTCTCTCAGCTCTTCTTTTCTGACCTGTCTCAGCTTCTGTCTAGGATAGGGGAAAGGATGCACAGGGTGGGAACAAAATGTTACCATGCTCTCTTATCCCTCTAGTAGCTCATTACTCACTGTAATGAGTGATGTAAAGGACTCCTGGCTCACACTGATTTCAAATTCAGATGTGTGCTGAGCACAGAAGCAGCAAGAGCCAACTGTAAAAGGTAAAATGATTGCCTTCTCTGATTGCTACTTGGAGGAGGAGATAGTCTTTAGTGGCCAAAAATAATAATGAAGAGCAATACTTTATGACCTGATCATTGACTTAACAGGAACAGACTGTATTTTCATATTTACATGTACAGACAAGGACCAGCAGAAAAGAGACAGAATAATTCAAACCCTTGATAAATACAAGAAGGATCTTGTACGTGGTCTTCCTGCCTCACCAGTCAAATGCAGAAGTATTTCTCCAAACCAGCAGAAGGTATGTGATATTCTGACAGCGTAAGACCTGTCACACAGGTGGCATTGAGCCACATAAAAAAGCCCATTTTCCCCTTAGTTAGATGTGCTCTGTGGTGTGGGGAGTGCCTGTAGCACAGCAGTTACGTGCAGGTTTGTTCAGTGTGCCTTTTTATAGTCTAGTCAAGCAGAGATAATATTTGACTCTCAGTTTTGCCGCCTGGCACTTATCCTCCCACTGAATTGTTTCTGTCCCTACATGGCCTACAGTGACAGGTATCAATGTTATGGCTGTGTGTATGTGACTAAAATATGTTCAAGAGAACACAGTGTTTTCAAGAGAATGATATTCCAATATTTTTCTGTGAATTCCCATACTTAGCGTTGTTTTACAGTATTCCCTGAATTTGAGAACATTACTTATTGGTAAAACCAAGACCCTAATTATATATTCTGCCAGAGACCAGAAACTGGACAACCCCATATTAATGTAAGTAGACTTTTCTTCACCAAATTCTTCTAGTGAACCTCACCTCCACAAATTCTTGCAAAACATTTCATCCTACCATAGTCCAGTGTCTCTCTCAGGCAGAAATTCCTCAGCAGAGTATATTTAGGTTTTAAGAATTTCTATAATTTGAGAATCATAGGGGGCTTACCATTAGATTTTCAATTATATTGTTTACAAACATCATCCAGTTCAAACATGCATTATTTTGTTTTGCAAAATCTTTCTCCCACTGAGATGAATAGCAGTAGATCACACTTTCACCTGTGGTATTTGTAAGGAAAGCAGTGGCTCTATTTGACTTCAAACTCATGAGATGATGCTGTGCTCATACCTGCACAGGCACACAAGGAGAGAGAACAGAAGATACCATTGATAGAGGACTGTGAGACTGCCATGGAGTCATCAGTTCCATAGGCAATGCCCAAGGAAGAAAAAAGTCTCCTGTTCTCCTTCTGTCAGCCCTGGCAAGGAAAATGGGATTTCTGTAATTTCCCAAGACTACTTGTTATTAGAAACTCAGCTTAGTAAAGAGAAGGAAGGAAAAGGAAACTAGGTAAAGGACTGGTTAATTACCTCAAGCACAGTGGCAGGATGGCTTTACTAACTAACCACCAACTGTGGTTCCCAGAACTGATCAAGTCAGATACACTTCTAAAAACCAATTGAGCCAGTTTAAAAACAGTTTCTTAAAATTCTTCCTGTGTGAGCTACTTTGTTGGAAATAGTGTCTGTAGCAAATTCTCATGTAATTTTTCTGTCTGTTTTGTTTAACTTTCAGATCAATTGGGCACTGTTGGAAAATGGTCACCCACTGTCTGGTCAGAGCAACTATCCCAGGACAAAGAGAGAGCAACCCCTCTCTGTATCAGGCAGAAGTTCACTTAAAGGACTCAGAGGCTGAGTCCTGCTGCAAGAAAGGCTGTCCCAAATACTGCTCTGTGTGCTTGGTCTCCAACCAACATCAGTTCACAGTCCTAGTGCCCACAGATCATCTGCTTCACCCCTCCTGCAGCCTCACATGCCTTTGAGCAGTCACAACAGGAAGAAGGCATTTCAGAACTCTGTTCATAAAACCTACTCTGGGGACTTCCTTGACAAACATGCAATTTACTTTGCAGAAAAGAAGCAGTGTTTTACCTCTCAGATCTTGAAGACATCACATCAACCTTTGCTTGTAAAATATAGGTATTATAATCCTCCTTCCAGAAAAAGGAGCTCCTCCCCAGGCAGACCATCAATTAAATCAGCAGGCATCAACAGCAAAAAGAGAGAAGGCTTACACAGGTGCTGACATCAATGCTAAAAGTTACACAATTTTTTTTCAAACACATTATTTGAATCATAGCTGTTTCTCACTGTGCTTTTAATCTTTCAGATTTTTAGAGGATGAACATATGAGACCACATTCTGCTAACTTTTCTCAGCAGCCAGTTGAGGTTAGTGTATCCAGTGAGTTACAAAGAAAAAAGGGCAGAAAACACTACTTATGTACAAAAGTTGTCCTGGTTATGTGAAAATTAAATGGATAATGGAGTCAGTGGCTTTGGGGAATCTTTGTTAAGAGCAAAACCAAAATACTCAACTTCCTTAAGAGAAGTGACTACGGTTGTAACTGAGAAATCCAGCATGCAGGGCTAGAAGGGGTCAACAGGGATCTGTGAATAAAACAGGAGCAGCTAAAGTCTTTGAGAAACACAAATGAGGCACTGTGATGTGAGAAACAGTGTACCCCAACACAAATCTGCTCTTCTGAGAGCAGAGTTCTTTCCTACTTGACTGAACTCTTGCTTTTTGGTTGGTTTACAGCCTTTCATTCCATCTAAATAATAACTTGGAGCCCAGAAATGTCCAGAAAAAGTGCTATTCTCTCTGACTACGGTCACATGTCATGCAAGATTTTGTCTGTAAGTTGCACTCCATTAGTCATCTGGATTTTCAAGATGAATGGTGAATTGATTTAGGAAATTTTAGTGCACTTAAAAATAAGGGTTGCTTAACAATAGCCAAAGCCATGCACGATAGAGGAGTTTTGTATAATTCCTTGGCCCACGTGCCCCTTTACAGAAGCCATTCTGAATTTCTACACAGCTCAGCCAAGGAACCACAGGCATGATATGTGATAGCTTTGTGCTTGATAGTGCTATTTCAGTTCTTATTTCAACCACCAAAACCTTCATTTAACAATATTAACTGGAGTAGCTCCTACTTTCATTTGATGACCTGGTCTGATTTTCTAAGTCCTCTTTCAAAAACACAAATGTATTTTGCATGTCCTTCTAAATAAAATGCTGTTGTATTTGTATGGAATCTGTAAAGATTTTCAATTTCGACAGAAATTCTGATTTTCTTTATATTTGCTTCCTTTCTCTTGGGTTATACAAGCTGATTTCCATTTCTGTTACCATGAACCTACCCAATAATAATACTTGTTCATTATTTACATGAGTGATTGACACCCAAGACGTTTATTTCACATGAGCTGGAATGTGATATAGTTGTGATTTTGATATGTTGTGGTATCAGATTATTTCCCCTGGTACTCTGAATGGAAATAAATAATGAGAATACAAAGATAATTAAACAAATCATTTACTTTTTTCTCCTTTTCATTTTTGTGGCAGAACATGAATTGTGGAGTCATGATTCTAAAATGCCACTTTCTCCAGGATTACAACTTGAAAAGGTGTAAGTCATATATTTGTTTGTCCCTTTTAACTATTTCTAAGCTTCACATCAAAATATTAAAGTAGAAATCTAGTGGAAAATTGAAAACATGACACAAGAGCCTATTACCAATGGCTGTGTGCAGTGAGTAGAGGGATTATATTGGGAATAAAGGATTCAGCCACTTGCTTGGGAAATGTGGGATCAGAAAGTTGGAAGAGCTTTTCTGGGTCATAGTCTTACTGTATTGGTCTTAACATATTTGGCTTGCCTTTTACTGTAGGCAAGCTAAATATGTTAAGACTAATAAATATAAAATTATCTTCTGGTACCTTTGTTCACTGGAACCATTTTTAACTGATTATTCACAAAAGGCATAAATCTTTTAGATTAATGAAAATAATGGATTAGAATATTTTGGGAGTTGATCAACAGGATTGTCAAAATCAGTAATTTTAAAACTTATAAGACTGCTTAGTAAAAAAATGAAGACTAGTAAATAGATTAAGCACTTTTGTTTAATTACTCTAAAATCACTGCCTCTTTAGTTGGTATTGTAAAATTTTGTTTGTATTCTGTGTATGTTAAAAAAACACGCTGACAATTTGTGTGTTTATATAAAGAAGAGTACCTTTGTGCTCTCCAGGACCTTACGAATGATATTTTGATTAGAAGTTGTTAAAAAAAAAAGAATAAGTGTTTTGACTTTAATATTTAATTATTTGAGAAACAAAATTTTGACAAATCAGTGTAAAGAATTGGTGGTTTTAATGATAGCAAAGTGTAACTCTGATTCAATTTAATTGGATGAACACTTTTGTGACTGCACTGTATGGGAGTCATGATCTAAATTGAGTAGCTGGACAGAAAATACTCTCAGCCAGCCTCATATTTCTCACTGACTTCTAGCAGAAACATGGAAATATCATATTTGCTAACCCTGTTCTCAAGCTCACTCCTTTATACAGGATGGTGATGGATTTTATTGTTGCAACTGTCTCATTCCAGTTCCCAGCTAAAATTGAGGTAGCAACCCATGGAGTCTTCTCTAGCAAAGTTCATCAGAGCAAGTCTGTGTTTAGAGTTCTTCCTCCTTCCTATCAAAGCAAAATAAATAAATGCAATGATTGCTTTCTTTAGGATATGTGCAGCCTCAAGTTAATGTTCCACACAAATGTTAGAGCCAAACACACCTCATGCTGCTGGTGTCTAAAGGCAACAACTTTTTCTGGGCTCATGTTCTGTACATTCTAAGAGTAAATCAACACATTTCTAATATTTAGAGAGCTGTGATAAACCGCAGAGCCCTTTCTAGCCCTGCTACAAGTGACAAAACTGGGTGACCCTTTCCTAAGCAATTTCTTGTCTGCATCTTAACTGAAAGAAACTCCTCCTTTGATAGAGGATTTTATCTCAATGTTTAAGATTTTAAGTGCTTGATGCTAAGTAGGTGCCAACCCCCCCAAATCAATCCACCTCAGCTGATACCAAGGTATTTCTTTTTCAATTTAGAGGATTTGAGTTCAAATCTTAAGCCACTTAAAAAAAAAAAAAAAGTGCCTAATGACACAAGTTGTTAATTTGTTTTCTGAGTAATCAGTTAAAAGTAGGAGTTCCCCTCCTTCCTTCTAGGTATTTTAGTTTTCAGACAAAGGTAAGGTCCAAATTAGAAGTGAATTTTCTGGATTCACTGGGAGAAACACTAGCAGATTTGAAATTCATTTACACTGAAAAGACACCAGTTCATTTACACTGAAAAGGTTACAAAGCTTGGGGCCAGCCCATAGATGCAGTAAAAAAAAGTTAAGGGTCTGTGTGTTTGTGTCCCTGCTCTGGCCTGCAGGGTGAGAGGACTACTCTGCTGGCTTTAGAGGGAGGTGGTTTAGATGCTTTGTACTCCTCCCTCAAAAATAAAGTTTACTAAAAATATGTGAAAAATCATCCATTGCTGTTCTTGGGTTGTCTCTAATAACAGAACTTACTTGTTCTGCAGAAGAAAAGTGAACAATCAATAATATCCTTTCATTTTAAAGCACAAGATAAATTTCTAAACAGGTTTTATGTCTAAGAGACACAGCTAGTGGCCTTAGCTACCCTGCAGGATTAATATTACAGACACATTTTAAAGTTTCCATTTATTTAGGCCAGTATTCTACAGATAAAATCATGAATGCCCTCTCAATTCTAATATACAGAATAAAACCAAACCAGCTCTGCTGAGCCCTCCAGCTCATTGCAGACATTGCTGAAAATGCAACATACTGAAATGCAAAATGCAAATTGGGTTAGATTAATTATGACTGCAGAACCTGGAGACCTAATTTCCTTAGTCAGATAGGTCTTTATTTTTACCAATTCACACATCTTTTGCTCATAGCTGATCATGGCTCTAAAAAAGTTATTGAGAGAATTTTCTGAAGACATCTCCCTATCCCTAGTACACCTATTAAGCAAACTATGAGCACGAAAGTTCAACCTTCAGTGTTTCCCTAAGAAGTAACTGAAAAGGAGACCAAAGAACAAACAGATCATGCAAATGACCTTCAGAGTCTAAAAGTGCTGGCTAGAGACAGTTTCAAAGCCTCTTTGACTAGCACCATATATTGAACAAAGGAGCAAGAGCTATAAATCAATCTAGGAGGCTGCTTGCAGGACTGCCCAGCACCCCAGTACCCCCAGCAGTCTCACTCACTCAATGTGGTGGGACAGAACTTGGCAGCAGCAAGAGAGACTTAGGCCCCACCAAGACACAGAGGGGAACTACTACTACATTGTGATGGGGAGCACCAGTACTCCTATATTTTTTATTAAAAGTAGAAGAAGAAATTAGAATTATATACGTAAAAGTCTTTCCCTAACATAGTTCCTGACAAACAGCATGGACTTGGAATGACAATATCCAACAACCTTAAAATGTTTAAGATTTTGGTTTTTAAATCCTCTTACAGTCAGACGGGGAGCGGATGGAGCAAAAGTGGAAGGTTGGGATGCATTTTAAGTGATCTGAAAAACAGGCTGAGTAGTTATTTTTCATTTTGAAAGTATATGGACCTTGAACAGTTGAGGTTTTTTACACTGATGTTCCTTTTTCTTTTTTTTAAGGGCATTAGAAGATGTATTTCAAATGCACATTAAAAGAGGCATAACCTTGATGAGGTTAGCAAAAAAAAATCTAATGTTAAACATTCTGTCACCTCCAGTAGAAATGTTGTACATCAATGCTGAGCAAAAGTTTATGGCAGATCAACTACCACACAATTTTAATAAAAAGCAAGGAGAAATTCCCCCTATCAAAGCAGCAGTAAGTGTGTTTTCCATGGAGGGCTGGTAAAGAAAGATTCTTCTGTACATTTTTTTGTATTGCTCTAATAATATTTCTAAAAGACACATAACGTAGTTAGCATGCAGAATGGCTTTAATTACATAAAACCTGTTCACAAAGAACATTTGCTGCTGTATTTTTTTTGCTGTGACTGCTATTTTCTGGAGTAGACCAGCAAAATAGGCTTGGAGGCTGTGACTAGATCTAGTAAGAAGACTTTGCAATTTAATAGCTTGAATTTAGGAGTTTGGTCACCAGAATAAAATGTAAAATTCTAAGTTCAACATTAAGGCTCCCCAGATGGGGCCTGCTGAGAATTATACACCTCAAAATGCTTGTCTGGACATCTCCCACGCCGAGAGAGAAGAGGCCTGTGGAGAAACAAAAAGAAATGCCAGGCACAAATACACAGCCACAGTCCTGTCTCTCCTTTCTGCAAGTCTGGCACCTTATCTAGGATGAGCAAAAGCACATTTCCCTGTGTTAATCCAGGGTTTAGTGCCCTCTCCTGAGAGCAGAGCTTATAACTGGCCTTTGAAAAAATTGGAAAGAAGACAATGTTTACCTATTAAAAGTCATTGGCAGAGAAAGTGGCATTAGTGGCATTGCCACTCTCTTTGCTGTTACCCCAGTTTCGCTGAAGCACTTGCCCATGAAACGGGGAAGGCAGACTCCAAAGGCTGAGAAGACCCAAATCCAGCCCCTCATGAGCAGATGGTTCAACTGGGCTTTTGAACTAATTCCTCTGGGTTAGACTGTAGGAGCAAAATGGGGGACACAAGCACTGCAAACTTAGGCTGCAGCACTGATTTAAAAGGCACTAGGTTTTTCTGCTTCCCAATAACTGATAATATAAATTCCTTCTTCTTTACAGACTCTGAATTAAAGGGGAAAAAAAAAAAAACCGCATTCCCAAGAGTCTGCTGCAGAACTGTGGGCTCCACAGAGGGTGCAGAAGTTCATTCACAGCCTTCCTTGCATTGTCTGCCAGCTGCTAATTGGAGGGGCCCTGCCCAGTGCACAGGGCTTGGGGCTTTTTCATCCTGTGCTTCTCCCATGTCCCACAGGGACTGAGCCTGCTAATTCCAGCCTTGAGAGGGATCTGATGTTGAGTTCCTCTCTAGATCTTACTTTAAAGGCCTCTGCACAAAAAGTCATTTCACTGGGTCAGATGATCCAAAGGTTTCATGGTCAAGGACTCAGAGATTGCATTCTAAAGTTCGTATTGCTGCAGGGCACTCAGGTGGGAACTTTTCTCAGAAACTGTCAGAGACTGGCTTTTAAACAAGCTACCTTGACTTTTTTTTTTTTTCTGCAAATTTTTAACCATTTAGAATTGTACTTCCTTTAACACTAGGCATGTGGGAGTTGCACACGATTTGCACACTGAATAAACAACAATCAAAGGAATTATAAAATAATTAGAATGCAGAATGTTATTTTGTCTTTTAAAGTGCTACAGTAAGGGGAGAGGTGGTGTTTTGGTAACTGTTTAGTTGCTGGACTGACAGGCAGTAGGTGGAAAAATTGTTTAGGGAATGATCTGAGTTGAAATTAGTGATATTTAACTTTGTTTTGT